ATAATAGAAAGTGAGGACGGATGTTGATTATGAATCCAGTGGTCTTGAGTGCTGTTAAAGGTATGAAGGCGGTTATCACTTTCCAGTTTCCCACACCGTGGAAGGGTTGTTCTGGAGGTACCTGAGAAGTAAATTGGATTAGATGTGGTCTTAGTGACCTGGTAGCGTTACCGCAGTGCCCAAGGGACAACCGCTTGAGGTCTGTCACACACGACCTTTTTATGGGTAATTTTTGTGTTAGCTCCGTACTTGTTGAAACCTTACCATCGGAGACGGATATCCGTGGGATGAAGCGAGGTGTGCGTTTTTAGGGTCGACCTTTTCCAACCCCACCCCTCCTTGTGGGAAGGCAGCATCACTGTCATGCTGGTTGTCTGAAGGAAACACCTTACTGCTGTCCCACCTCTGTACAGTCAGCAGTACGACTTCGCCTTCGGACCTTGGGTTTGTTGCTTTTAGTCTTACTGCTGTTCAACCGACCTGTCTGACATGGTAGGACCTTGAGGAACAGTTGTTCCAGCCAGTATAGCTCGGTTGCTTCATCACGATAGGCAAGCCCGACCACCACGTCAAGGTAGCAACAACGGTCGGGAACACTATTTGGAATGGACTCTGGACATTGTTTTAATTTAACATCTTGCTAGGCTTTCGGCTATTGCATTGGAGTTAACGCAGTATAGTTATCTTTTATTCTATATCTTGTTCTGCTTTCATTCATATCTCTGCTGGCAAACACTGTTGTTGTCTTTTCATTTGGATTTTCTGACCAAGACTTGTACAGTGCAAATTTTTTTCGAGTGTTATTAAAATATGCTATATATGATACTGTACATTTAGGAATTTCATATAATACACTTACGTTATTTATTTTGGCATGTGGATCTAAATGTATTACGTTTTGTTTATATCTTTTTATTCCGCTATAATGTTTACTTTGATATATTTTAGCCATGCCTACGTTACAATGGCTACGAATCAAATGGCCCAAAGTGCATTGAAGGTAAGGGAAGTAACTACCTATTCTTTTGAATTTTAGCTAGATCACCAAATGGTAAGCAATCGTCTTTTACGTGTATCGTTTGCTCGGAGACCTTTCCACGTGAAACCTTTTTCACCTACAAAATATAGTCCATGTAAGTCGCGTTCCTTCTTGGCATGTGATTTTCATTCGCCTTCATTAACTTATTACTGTTTCTCCGCATAACTGATCATCTATAGGTGAAAAATAGGCTTATTTAAACCTATAAATTACTATAGTTCAGAAAACATTCACTTAAGATCATATAGCACTTAGTTATGTATTTAGGCTTTTTGTTTTTAATTATTAGATTAATGTTAAATAAAACTGAATAGAATAATTATGTCAAAAGTATCTGTCAATTAATTAAAGCACTGTCTTTACTAACAAGTATTTACAATCAGTACTCCTGATTTTTTAAGACGTGTGGTAAGGAATTTCTGTACTCAGTTTTGAGTAACACAACTTTAGAGGGTGGTTTGTGATGCTACCCAGACCGTCAAACTATTGTAGGTAAATCGAAGTACTGTGTGTAATTGAAAAAAAGTGGTCTTATTTACAGTTTATCACATCAAACTTTAATTAATTTATAGAAGTGCTAAAGTTAACTTTCTGTTTCTCATAATGTAGGTCGGTCATTTCGAAAACCAGCTTTCTGTAACTCGAACGAGGAGCCTTCAAACAGAATATCAAGCGAACTTAATCGAGATCTAGTTACTTATGAGGACTTGTATTCTGATAAATGAACTGTACAATTATATTCAATAAACTGTTAAACACAAATCGAACTCTTAATTCATCTTTTCATATGTGAATGTATTTTTTCTGTTCTTTCGAAAATTCTTCCTAGTTGTATTGTCATTCATAACACATGAAAAGGTTCTTTTATAGATGTATATCCCTTTTACGGATCTGTAGAAAATGGGACAAGAATGTAATATGCTGCAACGTTCATCATAAATAAGCAATCATTGCACTTAGAAAAACATTCGGCAGTTACAAATCGACTGGACGACTTACATTTGAACTGAAGAATGTTTGTCAGTGTAGACTACCTGGATACGCTATGTGTGGTACTCTCAGTCAATGGCTAGGGACTTCAAATGATATGACTCAGAATCGCTCGCAATGGTGCTGGTTCATTCACGCTTTGCCTTACGTTGAACCCTAAGTTTGTTGACTGTCTTATACCTTTTCCACATTTTCTATACCTAACTTTCCTATCAACTACAGGGGCATCACTCTTCTCTCAATACCGGGGAAAGTCTTCAACAGGGTATTGTTAAACAGGATGAAGGACTGCGTAGACGCCCAACTTCGTGACCATCAGGCAGGATTCCGTAAAGATAGATTGTGTACAGACCAAATCGCAACTCTACGGATCATTGTGGAACAATCAATTGAATGGAATTCTTCACTCTACATCAACTTCATTGACTACGAAAAGGCATTTGACAGCGTGGACAGAACAACACTATGGCAGCTTCTTCGACACTACGGCGTGCCTCAGAAGATAGTTACTATCATACAGAGTTCATATGATGGATTACACTTCAAAATCGTGCATGGAGGACAGTTGACAAAGTCGTTCGAATTAAAGACCGGTGTCAGGCAAGGTTGCTTACTCTCACCCTTTCTCTTTCTCCTGGTGATCGACTGGATCATGAAGACGTCAATATCTGAAGGGAAACACGGGATACAATGGACATCTAGGATGCAGTTGGACTTTCTAGACTTCTCAGATAATCTAGCCCTTCTAACCCAAACGCAACAACAAATACAGGAGAAGACGACCAGGGTATCAGCAGCAGTAGGTCTCAATATACAGAAAGGAAAAAGCAGGATTCTCCGATACAACACAGCATGCACCAATCCAATCACAATTGACGGAGAAGATTTGGAAGATGTGAAAACCTTAACATATCTGGGCAGCATCATTGATGAACAGGGTGGATCTGATGCAGATGTGAAGGCGCGGATCGGCAAAGCAAGAGCAGCATATTTATAACTGAGAAACGTCTGGAACTCAAAGCAACTGTCAACCAACACCAAGGTCAGGATTTTCAATACAAATGTCAAGACAGTTCTACTGTATGGGGCAGAAACCTGGAGAACTACGAAGGCCATCATCCAGAAAATACAGGTGTTTATTAACAGTTGTCTACGTAGAATACTTCAGATCCGTTGGCCGGACACTATTAGCAACAACGTACTGTGGCAGAGAACAAACCAGATCCCAGCGGAGGAAGAAATCAGGAAGAAGCGCTGGAAGTGGATAGTACACACATTGAGGAAAGCACCCAACTGCGTCACAAGACAAGCCCACACATGGAATCCTCAAGGCCAAAGGAGGATAGGAAGACCAAAGAACGCATTACGCCGGGAAATGGAAATAGACATGAGAAAAATGAACAAGAATTGGGTGGAGTTAGAAAAGAAGGCCCAGGACATAGTGGGTTGGAGAATGCTGGTCGGCGGCTTATGCTCCGTTGGGAGTAACAGGCGTAAGTAAGTAACTTTCCTATCACTAATGATACTGTTATTACTTCTACTATGGAATTTGTCTTGATAGTTTTATCTCGCTGTACTAATGGTGTATGGCAACTTGGTTTGATGAACACGTGGTAGGTTCTACATTGCACATGACTGGCTGATATGAAGGCTAGTTACACTGATCAGCTACTTAGTTAATGACTGGATTGAGTTGGATAAGTGAGTGTAGGTTAGTACACTCGCTCTTAAAGCTAATCATGCTACCTGGTTGGAGAGACCGGGGCAAGTGATGTGGAGTGTATGGTTGTAACTTAAATGTGTTGTAGCCAATAAACTGCATTCCAGAGTAGGGTGGGGATCCAAACATATGGTGTAGTGGGCTAAAGGAATATGTCAAACCGCATGGCAAAATAGATGAGTTGATTCGTTTCCGACTAAAAGCCGTAATAAAAGGGATGTATCTTTCAGTCAAGCCGAAGTTTGTACTAAATAAATTGCTCATTGAGGCGGTTATATGCGTACAGATTTCCGCCCAGTGGACTCTCCAGTTGTGTCTATCAGTCAACATGTACAAGCCAAGCCGCATACTTTGAGAGAACAGAAAGGAGGGTTGTTGTATTCATCACTGAGCACAGTCAACAGAAACTTAAACTCAAAGGATATCATTTCCAGTCGTACGATTGCTAGCTATGTGCTTGACAGTCGGCATGATGTTGATGTGTCAAGGTCTTTCGAAATAATTAATAAATTAACTTAGGATTTATTAAGTTTTGCCGAAGCAGTTTCCATGAAAAGATTTATGAATCCAGTAAGGCCCAATTAACAAATTTGCTTTACCGTGGTCCGGTTACAGATTTCTTGTTTAACTTTTTTTCTTATGATAATAATTATGATTCCTTAGTCCCTATCTGATCTAGTCGACTCATTTTACTGTTATGCATCACATGACATGAAACTTTCATGTCATTTCTGGTTTTATCCTATCTTCAGTCTTCTAGAATATGCACATCGAATAACTGTTTGAGCAAACCTAGTTCTTCCTCAGTCGTCGTTCTCCATTATTCGAGTGTATCAAGACTAATTTTTTATTACGTATAATATGTATCTTGTATTGCTTTCTAAGTAGTAAACAGCTAAAGAGAATCTTCAAAATACATAATATAAATCCATGTTAATCGGCTACCTTCCTACCTTGGTTCAAAAACAGTATTTGACTGTTTATCAATGGAGTAGAATTACATTTCACAGTAAAAGGCATTATTAAATGTCAGTCAGTATAAAGACAATGTTTGTGAATGTTGTTTGGATCTTATAAATAAAAAAATATAAGTTTACGACCCCCCATATGTTTTCTAATTTCTGCCTGAAGAAAATAACCTATATTATTCTTCATGGTATTTAAACAGTGGCGAGTCTTGTCATTATAAATGGGCTACCATCTACAACGTTTGTTATGGTTAAAATTTTCATTTTCCCTTCGTTCTAGTACATGTTTAAATTCAATGGTGAATTATTCACAGAATATAAAAGAATTCATATATATGAAGCAGTAAATCAACTTAAACGTCTCCGTTGTTTCGGCGCATTGTGTGCGATCAACACTATTGTTTGGAGTTTTTTTACATGTAATCCACGACAGATACAAACAACTAGTAGCAATTTTCAGCTCTTCAAAGAAACCGCCCCTAAATCTTACGAAAAAATGGTAGAGAGTTTTGGACTGAATTTTGATACCAAACGACTTTATCCTTGGATAACAGCTGTACTTGGTAGGTGAAGACATAGTACATAATCGTACTTATTTTTTTACTCTTTGCTAAAAATATATTGGATTTTAAAAATTCATAAAACTTACCGAAATAATGAATACAAACTTTGCTACTAAGTGTTTCAATAGTTTTATGTAGTATACGATCAAGTTAGGTCGTTATGGTCACATGATTTGTATTACATATGTATTGAACTAACGGCAGTTACATTTACTGTTGCTTTTGGAGTTCGTATGGGAACATCAGTAATTACATCGACTTGAATCGAACTCATAGGTCAATGATATCAAGGCACATGAATAAGATATTTGGAGTCTCATCAATATCACTAAAAGCTGACTCGTTAAAGGTAATTGCTTCTTGAATATTTCAGTGTCATTTGCAAGTTAAACGCAGTACAATATTTTAGTTGCCTTACCAGATGGAGTGCTCAGAGGACTCATCGTGTCTAAAAACTTACTTGTTTAGTATGTTTACCTCCCAAGATCTAATAGGATCTATTTCTAAGGTCTATCTTTAGCTTTTAGGATGTAGTATCTTATATGTAGACATCAGTTTTGCTTTTATGGTACGTATAGATAAGTTGCTTGCAGCTTTATGACTTTCTATTATAAGGTTCATATATATACACCACTCCGATAGGATGCAAAGGTTAGAAGTCCCTCTTTCACTTCATAAAGAATCTAATGAGATTTCTGATAATTGTCAGTGGATCAAATCCGCACTCGATGGCTTAGTCCTAGAGAAAGTAAGCTAGAAGGTCCTTAGAACATCTACTTCAGTCACATATCAATTTTATTTTCTCACACCAAAATAAAAACATTTCTGGAAATTTAAGAATAACTACTTTTAGTAATTGTCAGTAATAGTAGCCGAACTTTAACCGGTCATTGTATGGGTAGATTAAAAATTGTTTAGGTCACTGAAACATATGTCACTTTAAAGACTATGCATATTAATTGCTTTTAGATAAATCACTGTTTGTATATATAAAAACATTTCTAGCTTTCTCCTCGTTTCTTGGAGGAATTCTTTTACCACGTCGTATGATTCGCAACATAATTTTAATAACCGCTGAGAATAACAATACTTCGGCACTACAAAAGTTTATTGAGATCGATACCCATGGAGCTTTTGGTATTAAAAGTAATGGTAGAACATTCAAGAGACCTTTGAGATATATATCATTTGACTGTAAATCACCACATTCTGATGTATCCAGAATAAATATTCGTGTCAAACATGTACCTTTCGGTTTCATACTTGATTTACGAAAGACAAAACACATTGATGAAAATGAATTGTACTGTCTAATGTACAAAGTTAATCAGAAGTGTAGTACTTAATTCTGTAATAACTGTAATATGTATTATCTTATAAATTTCATGTTACTGGATAAATAATATGAATGCTTGTAGACAATGTTCATGTAAAATCAGTGGTTTTTAATCTACTGAAACTATTGTACTACCAATATCCTATTCATAATTCATACTAATGGCTTACGATGAAATAAAATAGACTCCATATTTGTTTATTGTTCTACGTCTATTTAACACTTGTAATCGAACCGATAGGGTTGACTAATACCCTAGAAGCCCTTGTTATTTGTAAGTTTGCATGAGAAACTTGTATTTAAGATTCCAGTAAAGTACTACAAAAGCGTCATTCACCTATTGACTCGAAAGTACATTTCATGTGAGTTTATACTACTATCCTGTGGCACTGATATTACATTCCACGCAAAACACTTATTAAATGGATACCTTTAAATGGTTATTTATTTGTTACTATACTAGAACGTTATTTTAGTGTTCGAAAAGGCAGTCGTACTTGATCGTTGTCATCTACACCAAGGGGCGGTAACCAAAGATGAGTTCTACTAATTTAACGGTTTCAAAGAGACATGTACGACAGATATTATGGTACTAGTTGAGGGTAGTATCGTTGCTAACCACTGTGGCTTTCAAAAACTCACCAGTTTTTTAATTTACATCACGGACCGACCTCAGAAGACCATTGGAAACAAAGGGGAACTAGAAAATTGTCTCATGAGCTACTTATGATAAGACAACCCGACTAACTTTAAACGCCTTTTTTCTGACTTTAGCATTTTTGAGTCATAACTACTTTTTGTATAAAAGTTACCTTATTTGACGTTTCCTCAAAGCTGAAAATAGAAAACGATACCTTAAATCCTATTTTTCTAACACATATCGTTCTTATATTTTTCTATTCATCCTTTGCCTACATAGCAGTAACCCCAGTTTTAGTTTCACTACAACTTTACGTCTTCAAGTAAGCGGTTTACAATAACTTATTTAGATAAGGTCTTAGTGTTTTTTGTAATGTATTTCCACTCTTATCAACCCACCGCGAAGTTAACAAAAACTCAAGGCTGTCCATGATTGTTAAGTTGATAATTACTACCTGGATGATCATTAATGATGCATACTATTATCAGCTTGTTAGGTATTATTCGAAATAATCCATATTATTTAAATTACGTGTGTAACAATATTGAAGCGATATAGCTTCCATGATGGTTACTTATGATTAGATCTTGAGGAGCAAATTGTGAAGTAATGTAATATCAGTACATTTAGCATTTTTATTGACAGCATTTGGATCTAGATCACAAACTTCGATATGGTAAACAAGATAAAATGTACAAATAGATTGAAGAATATACTTCTTGGGAACAACCGTACCGCTCTTTTTCTACGTCAGTACAGTATCGCCTCCCACTTCTGATAATAAGAACGATCATAAACCATGACTTCAAAGTATTACTAACATCCGAGGTTGTTTCCCGAAACCCATCGTAATCTTGACCACTTAATGTAAAATATGGTAAACGCAAATAATATGCATGGGATGAAGGATTAATATTAGCTAACGTTTATATGTTTATTAAGATGTGTTATAGTTTAAGCCATTTGTATCTATGCTTTGGTTTAAACTGGGGGTCTCAGGTCACGTATTTCATCATGGCAATTTCAAAAAGACATCGAAATACTGTTACTACAATATTTTGTGTTCACTAAGAATTAAATCCGTACTTAATGTAGTCAAAACAACTAAACTGTTATCAGATCATTGTGATTCAGGAGACAACCGGATACACATTCACGAATTGTATAGAAGTGACTGCAATCCTTCTTCCGACTTACTTGTCAGCTGATACTCAAGCCAAATTAATTTGAATCATTCGCACGGATTATCCTCATTCTTATTATTGAATCCAGTCAAGTTAAAAATCACGAAATAACTAAGATTATACATGATGTTTCTGGCTGTATGCGAGGAAAATCCTTTTGTCTATGTAGCTATAAACGCGTTTATCTATCTCGCGTAAAAATAAGTAAGACTTGAAACCCCATAAGCACTTTCAGTGGAAACCACCAAGCTTTTCTACAACCGTCATAACTTTGTCCTCCACCAATATTGCTACTTCAACTAGTACCTACACGGCTTCCTACGAAATGGAGAGCTGTTTAGTATAAAATGATATGTATTTCTACTATCATGGTTTACATAAAAGTACTTAATTTCGAATAAATTGAGCATTGGGTTCATTGTTATAAATAAAAATAATATATTTGTAATATCCCAATTTTCTACTCATTGGGATATTACAAATATATTATTTTTATTTATAAAAGTACTTAGTTCATTTACACTATTGTATCTTCAAGGCTAAATGAAAAATGATCCGCATTCTCCCAGTAGTTTACTAAAATGGTTTAGTTGCATCTAAACGTGGATAACCAAACGAAAAGACATTGACTCTTCAACATAATGACTAATAGCATAATAAATTGAATAATTGTTATTCCAAAAACAATACTACTAATCCTCAACAAACGTTACGGTTGGGAAGTATTTCAACATCCTAAGACCTCAGAGATGACGTTTTAGTTCGTCTATCAATTGTGATCCGGACATGTACAAGTATGCAGACATGTTTTTTAGATGCACTTAATCTATCGAACCTTACAACAGTAGATAAAAATGGTTGTGACGCCGGCATATATATGTGAAGACTCATCGGACTCACCAGTCCTAATATGTTTCTCAGGGCTGTCTACTTTTATTTTACTTGGTCCTAGAGATAACGCTTGCATCGTCCGACTTTTTAGTGGTTGACCTCTTACCAGGGGATCCATTTATTTTAATACACAAATGATGCAGTTCGGTGTAGTTTGAGGCGATCAGCGCTGTGCTTAGACACAGAGTACTAAGTAGGGTTCGCAAATCAGTCGAGGTAGTGAATCTCTACCGACCGAGATGGTTAAATAATGTATTAGGTGTACTCAACTACCGACTGAGTTGGCGGGGGATATTTAGTGTAGGAGTAAGCTCGCCGTGGTTGAGTCAAAACGTGACAACAATCCATGGAGCGATTTACAGTTGAACTGAAGAATGTCAGTGTAGACTACCTGGATACGCTATGTGTGGCACTCAGTCAATGGCTAGGGACTTCAAATGATATGACTCAGAATCGCTCGCAATGGTGCTGGTTCATTCACGCTTTGCCTTACGTTGAACCCTAAGTTTGTAGACTGTCTTATACCTTTTCCACATTTTCTATACCTAACTTTCCTATCACTAATGATACTGTTATTACTTCTACTATGGAATTTGTCTTGATAGTTTTATCTCGCTGTACTAATGGTGTATGGCAACTTGGTTTGATGAACACGTGGTAGGTTCTACATTGCACATGACTGGCTGATATGAAGGCTAGTTACACTGATCAGCTACTTAGTTAATGACTGGATTGAGTTGGATAAGTGAGTGTAGGTTAGTACACTCGCTCTTAAAGCTAATCATGCTACCTGGTTGGATAGACCGGGGCAAGTGATGTGGAGTGTATGGTTGTAACTTAAATGTGTTGTAGCCAATAAACTGCATTCCAGAGTAGGGTGGGGATCCAAACATATGGTGTAGTGGGCTAAAGGAATATACCAAACTGCTAGACTTCACCTCGCACTAAGATTCGTATTTAATCCTAATAAAATTACACGGAAGACGCTGCTGATAACTATACGAATCCCGGTCGTTGATGTTTACAACTGCTTGGGAGTAGGTTTATGAGTGTTGTACGTATTTCTAACTTGTACTTTTCTCCTTGAGTGATTACGCACAATAGTTGTTTTGTTCGCAATGAAAATAATTATAGACGACGATTACGCGTTAAAAACTAGCAGTCGATATTCTGAACCATTTCTTTAGACGGACTTGCCCTTTAATTATTAAATGGATTTCGAAAATAACCACGATTCAGTTTGCTATTTCGAAATGGCTGAACATAAAATTCGAGCATTTGTCTTGATCACTTTCGTGTATTTATCCAAGGCGTTAAATGGCACACATTGACAGTGTTTACGATTTGTCAACTTAGGGAACTAGCGTGTCAAATGTTGCAAAACAGGTTTGCTGTGCATATAACAAATACATAGTAGCGATGTCCTTTTGTTTAGTTAGACTTTGGGATGCCGAAGAAAACTAACCAGGACTGTGAAGACGGGTGAGAGTCACAACTCGACATTAGTAAACTACAACAAGCAGCGCGAGTTTATATCTCTCCGGCGAATCACGATTAAGACCTTGGTAGCCGAAATAACATTTGAATTAAACTACTCAGAACACAATGGTTGCCTTGTGAATAGAATCAGAGGACAATTATTTTACAAACGATACCAAAAGTATGAAATACAAAGTCCCGAAAGTTTTCAATCGCGTCTCAGTGGATAAGAGACTTCACTCAACCCATCTTTTGTGATTGTGTAGATGATAACACTATCACCACATTGTATGTCTCTTTCTGCAGCGCTGATAAATATATCATGAGTAAGTTTAACAGCCGTTTCCTTGTCCAAACGTGACACGTGATATTTCGAGGTCTTATTCCCAACCTTTAAGAAATAAGTAAATCTAACAGAGCAAACTTACCGTGCTATCCAGAAATGGTTGCAGAATTGCCGAAGAACTGCCAGAGGCGCGGTACCCCTCAGATTCATATGATCCTACAGGATCATAACTGTATAGCACACCACGGCCTTCATCTAGACCAACTAGTACATTGCTTACATAAAATGGGAAGAACCGTCTGTTATAAAGAGTTACAGACAAAAGGCCAGCTAGTGCTTTCGTCGAAATGTTCTTTCCATGGTCATAACGAAACGTCTACATTTGTAGAATATTACTTATACGAAAATATAACTGACTTTCACTTTATTTTCTAGTAATTTGGTCAATGTTAAAACATCTCCGTGAAATCCAGCGCACCCTAGGATATTACCAGGACCCCTGATACATGTCAATAATAAAGAGTTACTAACAATTTGAACAATCGAGGAGAGTTCCTAGAGAGAATAACAAAATCACCATCGCATAGACGAGTGTCAGAAGCTATGAGGGAGAAGTCACTTCCGGCAATTCCCATAACAGTTCTAAATTAACTCAAAATGAGTATACTTGGGCTCCTACCCTCCATTAGAAGAATAAGGATTAAACATGAGTAAGCGAACCGCTGACAACGCGCAAGTTCCAAAATGTCCGCCACTAGATTTCTAAAAAGTATGCAATACTCAATGATTAGCGCAGAAAGAGTTTAGGTTCAAATGGTTCTGGATGTAACAGAAGAAAGTTTTGTTTAACGGGCTTCTGTATGTAGTAGCAGTGGACAACCGAAACATCCAGACAGGAACTTGGGTTCAGTCTTCAGTAATAAGGATAGGAGGTCTGTCGACCTATATTAATTCTTGTAGTTTGTAATACATTGGAAATCCAATGTCGTTTTAAATATATTAAGAGATGGTGCTGATATTACGTGTTCCGGTAGAGAATTCCAATAATTCACTACTCGGGGCGAGAAACGGTAGTCCAGACGTAAACGGTTTGATCTCGGTTTTTGAATTTTCTTCGAATGTCCTCTCAAATGATCGGTTCTAGACGGGAGCAAAAGATAAGACATGTTAATACCAAGGTCATCGTTCAGTATACGATAGGCCAATATTAGATCACCCCTTATTCTACGGTAAGATAACGGAAATAAGTTAAGGTGTCTCAGTCTGTCTTCATAAGATAGGCCAGATAGACCTTGTACCATCTTAGTAGCTCGTCGTTGGACTCTTTCTAGCATATCTGCTTCATATTTGAAACAAGGACACGCTGCTTGAATCCCGTATTCTAAATGTGGTCGCACATAAATCGGGTATAGTAATCTAAACATTTCATCATCTAAATACTGGAAAGACCTACGAATTGACCATAATACCCTATAGCCTTTCGCAGCAGCAGCCTTACAGTGACCAGTCGTTTTGAGATCATTGCTTAATATGACTCCTAAATCTTTATAGTTTCTTACTTTTGGTAGCACGAATCCACGTAGCGTATAGTCATACGATTCATCAGAGTTATTTAACTGCATCACTACACTCTTATTAGGATTTACTTCTAGTGACCACCTATCTAACCATGCCACCAATGAGCTAAGATCGTCCTGTAATACTATCCTATCCGACATACTATGTATGGGTCTCCAAATCTTTATGTCATCAGCGAAGAGTAGAACGGATGATTTTGCTACAGTTGGCAATTCATTTACATAAAGTAAAAAGAGAAGAGGACCCAGGATTGTACCTTGGGGAACCCCACTTTTTACAGGTACCCACGAGGAGAGAGTCCCATTAACCCTTACCCTTTGTCTCCTGTCATGGAGAAAGTTACTTATCCAATCGACGACTGTATAATGGATTCCAAAACGTTTCAGTTTGAATTTAAGACCAGAGTGGGAAACCTTATCAAAGGCTTTACTTAGATCTATGAAAATCACATCCACAGGAGTATTCCGATCCTTTGCCGCAGCCCAATCTTCTCGTGCAATGAGAAGATTTGTCAAGCAAGATAGGCCTTTCCGAAAACCATGTTGTGCCCTGGAGAAAAGATTTTGCCCTTCAACATAGTTTATGACAGCTATCCGAATGATTTTCTCCATCAGTTTTACAACTGCACTAGTTAAGCTAACGGGTCTATAGTTACTAACTAAATCCCTACCCCCAGCCTTATACACCGGACTTATTATGGCGTCTTTCCAGTCTCTAGGCAGTTTGGACTGTCTCAGAGACATGTTGAATAGTATCGCTAATGGTTCAGCAATTTCATGTGAAATGGCTTTCATAATCCTAGGATGAATATCGTCAGGACCACTGGACTTATCAGGTTTGAGATGTTGGAGTAGCCTTAAAACAGTATCTTTCTCAATGACTACAGGATCCATCAGCGAGCCGTCACGGTCACAACGAATCATTGGTCGTTCCTCATTACCGATAGAAAACACTTTACTAAAGTATTCCGATAATGCTTCAGCTTTTTCGGCATCATTGTCTGCTAAGATTAACGGATTTTCTCGTATCAAAAGTGATGGAATTCCATCACTTCTCTTAGTTCGCCTTTTTATATACGAGAATAACCGTTTCGGACTATATCTAGAATCCCTAACCAATTGTTTTTCGTATGATAGTCTAGTCTTACTTATTAACGCTTTACAGGCATTCCTAATCTTACAATAACTGGATCTGTATTGTTCTAAGCCAGTAGAGATGAACATATCTCAGTGATTCTTCCTTTTTCTAAGGAGTTTCCTGACCGTTTTAGTTATCCACGCTGGACTATTATTCGGTCTTCGCGGTACGAGGTATGGTATGAACGGGGCGGAACTAGTCTAAATTTACCTTTAAATACAGACAATGCTTCTTCAACTGATATGCTAGTATCTACTAACCAATTTGTCTTAGCAGCACATTCCTGAATGGCTGATATGTTAGCTTTCCATACATTTGGGCGAGGTGTAACCTGATCGTATAACATGTCCCTAGTACGAAACGTGAATGACAAAACAGCGTGGTCGCTGTTCACTAACGGCGGGAGAATATTGAAGTCGACAATATCCTCAGTCTCATGAGTGATTACCAAATCCAGCAGAGAAGAACCCTGGTTAACACCAAAACGTGTGGGTTGGGATACATGCTGTACTAGTGCATGCTCCATTATTGTTATCAGGAACTTACTATCAAAGGAGTTTATAGATCCTGCTGTGGTCATATCAGTCCAACTAATATCAGGTGCGTTAAAGTCTCCTATTATCAAACATCTGGTATTTTCACTCCAAAGATGAATGTGCTCTAAAACAAAGTCATCAGCTAGGCAGATTGGGCTGCGATAGATGACACCGAGCATAAATGTACTACATCCGATAGCCAACTTACAGCTAATGACTTCACAAGTACCGCTATCATGGGAATCTCTAGTAGAGGAGCGGATATTTATGCTATTAGCTATGTATAACAGGACGCCGCCTCCTTTCCTACATCTATGTCTGTCACTCCTGATGCAGTGATATCCGGATAATTCTGGAGTAATGTCTAAGTCATCGACTAACCAAGTTTCTGTCACTGCTACTATGAGTGGCTTTACCCTGTCCACTAGTGCTTCTAGTTCATAGAACTTATTTCGTAGACTACGAGCGTTGGCATATAAAACTCCTAAGTAGAACAGCCTATCCACACAGGCCTTGGTAGCATTCGCTTCCAAGACCTGACTATCCGAAAACCCACTAACCGGAGATTTTCCTCGCCGTTTTGCCGACGGGTTTCAAGTTCAGCTAGTGCTTTCTTCCTTTTTATTCTATCTTCGAGAGATATATCAGGCCTAACTCGGATGTCAGAATTGTCGTGACAACGAGCGCTACTTAACAAGAGATCCCGTTGCTTCTCCGATCCTAGGATTACCTTAAGGAGTCTGCATGGACGGGTTCAAATGGTTGTGGACCCCAAACAACCAGAAAAAAATGAAAACGCATCAGAATGCCGGATTTTCCCCTTTTTTGCCGCTTTGTCGATAAAGTGCCGACTTTTCGCCTAAATATCCGCCAAGTTGTCCACTTTTTGCCTATTTGTCCGCTGAATTGTCTACTTTTCGCCTAAATACACACAGAACTCCCTATTTTCGATCCATTGACATAATTCCAAAGGTCTCCTATGTTCGCTTTTATTTTCAACAACGGAACAAAATAAAACTGCAATGCACTGGAAAACCGGTATATTAAAGAAATGTATTTAAAAGGAAAAGCGCCCCAGACAACCGAAAAAGGGGAAAAAAGGGGAAATAAAGGGGTAAATGCATTGTTGTCGAAAGGGGAAATAAAGGAGAAAACGCGCCAGGATGTCGCCTTTTTTGCCTGTCCGTGGGAAATAATGCGGAATTTCCCTTTTTTCGCCCTTTTGTCGACAAATTACCGACTTATGGCTTAAATATCCGCCGAATTTTCTAATTTTCACCTAAATATCACCCGAATTGTCGCATTTTCGACTAAATATTAGCTGAATTTTCGAATTTTCACCTAAATATCCAAAGCAATCAGTCCCTTTTATAAATTTCGATGAAAAAATGAGAAGACGTAGTTGATCTGAAAAATGTGATGTATTTGCGCTATACATTTCGAACAATCTGGTCACACATATACTTGTCAAGGCATTTTTATATGAAAATTAATAAAGGTCAAACGAATAAAAGTATAATTAAAATAACTAAGGGGAAAGAAAGAATAAGAAATTGTCGTGTTATCCTAGGCCATAAAATGACTTAATGATTACCTTTATTAATTTTCATATAAAAATGCCTTGACAAGTATATGTGTGACCAGATTGTTCGAAATGTATAGCGCAAATACATCACATTTTTCAGATCAACTACGTCTTCTCATTGTTTTACCGAAACCTAAATATCCCCCGAATTGTCGTATATTCGCCTAAATATCCGCTAAATTTTCGAATTTTCACATAAATATCCCCCGAATTGTCGCATTTTTGCGTAAATATCCGAAGAATTTTCGAACTTTCACCTAAATATCCCCCGAATTGCCGCATTTTCGCCTATATTTCCGCGGAATTGCCTACTTATGCGCTTAATTGTCTACTTTTAGCCTAAATACACACATTACTTCCTAGTTTCCATCCATCGACAGAACTCCGAAGGTCTCCTATGTTCGCCTTCATTTTCAACAACAGACCAAAATATATCTGCAATGCTGTGGAAAAGCGGTAAATTTTTTAACAATTTTATTTATAAGGAAAAGCGATTTATTGTACAACACTAGAGCAGAAGCTTAAGCATCGATTGTTTTGCATATCCAATGGAATTGCTAACTCATTGTTATTTAAAATTATCTGCAAAAGAAGGAACAGGTGATGTTTTATTTATAAGGAATGTGCATTCAAGCAAAAGTTAAGTGAAACTCAAACACATATTCTAAACACTTCTATAGTTTCCCATGTAAGTAATAAAGAAAGCACTTTTACAGAAAATTGTTTATTAAAAATGAGGTAGAACATAAAAAAAATTGCACGGACTATTCCCTTCAGCCACGTTTCTTCGGCTATTGAGAATTGAGGTAGTCGCCCCGTGAATTTTGGCACAGACAA